AGTTTGTCCATTTTATAATTTATGTAAAATTATCTTTTTTACCTTTTAGACATGAAGTATGCTGGTAAATTTTTGGTTACTTTGTTGTGTGAACATACCACTTTTTAACACTTTTCTTAAAAATAGCTTAAATCTTTTTTTGCACCTTGTAATTGTTTTAATTATGAAATACTGGTTTTGCCATATTCTTTCTACATTCTGGTTTGTATTTAAGGGTGGATGGTAGATGAGATGATACACATGTGTGTGCGTATGTTTTTGTTTGTGTTTAGTTTTTAAAATCCTGTTACATAGAGAAGCATTTTTGGTAGAAGGTGATATTTAAAGGTTTTTGTAAACCTTGGCCTTTTCTACTCTTTTTGAGTCAAACTTCTGAGTTTGATCAAGGCTTTGAAATACAAATCATGAGACTTAAGGAAAGTGATCAAGTTTATTTCTTAAATAACACTGCCGATGGAATTTGCAATTTACTAGTGAGAAATACGAAGTGTAGTTTACATATTTTGCCATTTTTTTCTTTCATTTGAATTTGAATAGAGAAAAGATAAATGGTAATTGCATGTATTGGTTTTCTACTGCTGTATAACAAATTATTCCAGAATGTAGTAACTTAAAACAACATACATTTATTATTGAACAGTTTTCATGGGTCAGGAATCTGGGATAGATTAGCTGGATCCTCTACTTTAAGGTCTCTCTCAGACCTTACAGTCTTCTTTAAAGGCCTGACTAAGGAAGTATTTGTCTCCAAGCTCACTCACCTCTTTGTTAAAAGGATTTTGTGTTTTTCTAGGCTGTTGGATTGACAGGGCTTCAGTTCCTCACTGGTGTAGGCATCTAATAATGTCAGCTTGCTTAATCAAAGCACATAAGCCAAGAAGGCAACAGAGAGGGTGCCAGTAAAATAGAAATCACTTTTTTGTAACCTAGTCATGGAAGTAACAGTCTTTGGGTTTTTTTGTGTGTGTGGTAGAAATAAGTCACAATGTCCAGCCCCTACATGGGACAGGACATAAGTACCAGCAGACAGGGATCATTGAGACCCATGTCAGAAACTGTTTTGCCTTAGTTATAATAAAATGATGACAGACTACATTGAGAATGAGTTTATAGACAATCTTTGTTTAGTTTTTTGTGAGTACAAAGCCCACTATTAATTTTGTGGGAATTTTTAGTGTGGGTAAGTTCTTTTTAATATGATGTTTAACAGGGATGCTGCCTTTCTATTTCTTTGCCTCAGTTTCTTCAATCTCCCAAATAGGATTTCAGGTCTTACCCCCTCCCACTTTTACATTTAAGTGTATGTGTTATATACTGGAAAAATTAAGCTGGGTGTGGTGGCTCACTGCTGTAATCCCAGCACTTTGAGAGGCCAAGGCGGGTAGATTGCTTGAGTTCAGGAGTTCGAGACCAGCCTGGGCAACATGAAGAAACCCCATCTTTATTAAAAAATGCAAAAATTAAGGCTAGCCATGGTTGCTCACACCTGTACTCACAGCACTTTGGGAGGCTGAGGCAGGTGGATCGCTTGAGCCCAGGAATTTGAGACCGGCCTGGGCAACATAGCAAAACCCTGTCTCCACAAAAAATGTAAAAAATTAACTGAGCATGGTGTGGTACACACCTGTGGTCCCAGCTACTTGGGAGGCTGAGGTGGGAGAATTGCTTTGAGCCCGGGAAGCAGAGGTTGCAGTGATCCATGATCATGCCACTCACCCTGGGCAACAGAGTGAGACCCTGTCTCAACCAGAAATAAATCATCTTCTCTTTTGAGAATGCCGTATGGTGTAGGCTCTCATAGTACTTTTAAGTGTCACAGGTAGATGCTTTTGTTTCATAAAAGTTTGGAATGGGATTTATTTAGTCTGTATTAAATTGCTCAGCAGTGAAATTAGGAGAGAAGCTTAGAATCAGATCCAGTGATCCTCATAGTATAGTCCTGGGCCAGCAACATCATCTGGGAAATTTAGGGGAATGTAGGTTTTCTGGTCCCACCCCAGACTTACTGAATCAGAAATACTAGGGGAAGGGCCCAGCAATCTGTGTGTTTTAAGAGACTCTCCAGGTGATTCTGATGCATGTTCAAGGTGGTTTGTTTTTATTTTTTTACTTATTTATTTTTTTTGAGACGGAGTCTTGCTCTGTTGCCCAGGCTGAGTACAGTGGCACGACGGCTCACTGCAGCCTCTGCCTCCTGGGTTCAAGCGATTCTCCAGCCTCAGCCTCCTGAGTTGCTGGGACTACAGGCACATGCCACCATGCCCGGCTAATTTTTTGTGTTTTTAATAGAGACAGGGTTTCACCATGTTAGCCAGGATGGTCTCCATCTCCTGACTTTGTGATCCACCCACGTTGGTATCCCAAAGTACTGGGATTATAGGCGTGAGCCACCGCACCCGGCCTATGTTCAAGTTTTAATACCACTAATCTATTCAGTCTGTTAGAGCTTGAGTATTACTTTTCCAAAAGGTTTTGGCCAGCACTAGAAATCTACTTTTACTACTGTTACGTATAGCTTTCCAGGAAAATTAACATTTTTAAAACTAATTTTTCAGATAAAGGATATAGAAAAGAAACAAAATATTTTCCTTATTTAAGTCTGTTGTCTAGGTTAGGCAGCATGTGTTTGCCAGGAAGATGGAGGTGTTGGGAGGGGAAATGAGAGGGACTTTTGAGATGAATTTTGTTTTCCCTTATACTGTTTCTCTTTTATTAAGAAGAGTCAAATACTAAATAGTGATTTTTAAGTGAGAATAGTGTTGGCCTTACATGATATTTCAGTTTGAAAATACATTCAATAATTGTCAGAGAATTGGTTATATAGTGTTTCGTCAACTTTATAGTCTTGTTTTAATGAACATTTACTTATAAAGATTTGCATTGAAATAACATCTTAGATGAAATGGAGGTCTCACAAGAAGGGCCCTTCCTAGTTGCCATGCCAACTTTCTGGTGTGTAGGTATTGATTGGAAAGACCTATGAATGAGATAGTTTTTTCTTTGATTATGTCTTTAATTCCAGTAGATTATTTTTGTCTATCCAATGATACTACTGTAGTAAGATTAACATTAAAGGCAGACAGTAATTTTAACTACGCTTGTAACGTACTTGATTCTTTGGTCATATGTCTTTTATCTTTTTTTATGTTTTGTGGAAGTTTAACAACTTAAATGTTTTTGAGGACTAAAGTTTGAAGGGGCTGACTAGAAATTTTTTAGTTTTTTGCATGAATTTACATTTTAACATTAAGCATTAGCATTAATGCTAATGTTAATTAATGCTAATGCTAGTTAATGCTAAGTAAGCATTAGCTAAAGTGATACATCTGGCTCACATTCGTTTAGGTAAAGTTATTAGGATTATAGTATATAGAGTGGGTGGATGATTTTGTTGTATTCCTTTATCTTATGAATCTTATCTTACAAATCTGTATCTTACAAATCTAAGAAAATAATCATATATTTACATATGAAAACTAGATCAAATAGTGAAGTAGTGTCCGTATTGTTCTAAAGAAAATTAGGTTATAGTGTATATTAAAAACATTTAATGTTCTGCCTTCCTTACTTTTCTCATTTACTTTGGAGTCTGGGACTCTGCTAGCTTGTATGGTTTGCTGGATTCTTTTAGTTTAGTAATTTGGGAAACAGGAAGGTAACCTCAGGATGAATGAGAATTGCTATTAGCTATGGGTCAGTTTAGTAGACTTGTGGATTCATAAAGAAACTTGATGGCTGCCTTATGTATCTTCTTTAGTCTTGTTGGTTTTGTAAGTTTGGAATATGTTTTTATTGTGTGGGTGGTTAAAATCAGGTGCTTTGGTCTCTTTTTCAAGGCCATTTGCTACCTTAAGATCTTTTTAATCTAAATCTCTTACTCTGATAAAACATGCACATCAGAACATTTTTAGATAGTGTTAGAATATGTTTCCTTTGACAAGAAAACATTTGAAAACAATTGTTTCATTTTTTTGCATACATTTAGCTAATGAATTAAGATTATTTTTTAGACTAATTTTGATGCAGTTTTTAAGATAGGATTTAGGAACCCATGCCAACTCTTTTAGTTATTATATAAAACTTTCCATGAAAAAGTTACTTTAAATTGTCTTACTTTTTTAAAATTTTCCTGCTTAGAAATCTCTCATTTTTCCTCCACTGAAAAATAGTTAAAATTTGCATGCCATATAAATTGCCTTTCATGTATCTCTTAAATTTAAAATGCTGAATTTAATTTTAGTATTTAGTAAATGCATTTTACATTAGGCTTTAAGGGCACATTTGATCCCTGTGAAATTGAGAATGTACATAGTTTATTCTTCAGAGTTTATAATGTATACAAATAATGAGTGAGAGTCACTCAAATTAATATTTGCTAGCACCTGTAGAAGTAAATCATTCACATTTATGTTAATGTGCCCTGGGGGTGTATATATATGAATTGGTTATTCCCCCCTTTCTCTCCTCCTACAAATCAAAGGAAATGTTAGCCTTTTACTACTTCTGCCAATAATACTAAAACAGTCAACACTTGAATGAACCACAACATATTGAGCTTTACAAAAGTCAGTAATATCCATCATCTTGAGTTAGCCTTGTACTACCTGCAGTATTAGAGAAAGAACCCACAGATCAGTTTTTCTGTTAAAATGTTAAAATAACAACCTCAGGCATTGATTATCATATTTAGTTAGGATTAACTTCATGGCATTTGATAATTGTGTGTGCATAAGTGTGCTTTTTAACTGATGTCTAACTTTGTGATTACTAGTGGGGGAAACCTTGTTATCAAGTTGTTAGACTGGGTTTTCATCAAGGAAGTTGGATGTTATACTCGAATTGTTAGTCCTCTACGAGAAAACAGAATGCTTCTCTTGAGTGAATAAGCCAGGATAATGAGGCAAGGGGTTTTATTTCAAAGTTTGTTTTGGTGATGGCATAAATACATAACAGGTTCTGAAATCCAATTACTATATTAAATTTCATCACTTGTTTTTTAGGTATTCCAATAACTGTACCACCTCCAGGTAAAACTTTTTTCATGTTTTCTCCATCATTGTTAATAAACATGAAATTTCAAGCTTATAGTTACAGGAGAGATGGTGTTGATGTGGTTAGAATATGGAATAGGCTATTGGGATTTCAAGGTCCTATTTTCAGCTCTGCCTTTGCTTCATTCCAGTTTTGATTAAGATATAGTTTTCTTATACCTGTCTTACCCATTTCTGTAGAAATAGAGATTCTGAGAAAATTCTTACCTATTCAATTTGTGAAGAAAACAGTATAGGATATAAAATAAAATTTTTCTTAAAAATGTCTTTACAGACCAATGAATTTTTTATGTCATATAGTGACTATAAGAGAAGAGAAAGATACTTTATTTTGACTTTATTATTATTTCTGATTTTTAAATTTTAATCCTGCTGGCTTAGTATCATGAGAAAATGTGTTCTAAACCCCACATAGCAACTAGACAGACAGCTGGTCAGGTGGCTGTTCTTAGAGTGGTGATTGTTTATTGTTGTAATAGTATGATCAATAGGAGTTTATATGTGGCCCAGTGTTTTATTTATTTATTTATTTATTTTTACATTTTTGTCAGTTATTTCTTTTTATAGTGTGATATCACACCTGGTAGCAAGTGTGTCTTACTGAGTTCAGTGTTAAAAGCCAAGGTGTATGAAGAGAATGAGAGGTGATAATGCTTGCAAGGGTGGGTCTGAATTCAAAATGACTTTGATAAACTGAGTGAAGTTTAGGTAGCATAGGACAGTATACATATTTAGATGTGGAATAGAGACATTGATTATATGTGAATGTGTCTGAAATAGACTCATCAGGGAAAGTCAAAGGAATCATTTATGTGTATTTTTAGTTTAAAAAACAATGTGGTTGTGAGGCTGTATGAAATAGGATTGTGGACTTTAGGACTAATGTGGTAATTGCTAATTTTGTACTTTTAAGATGTTTAATAGAGGAGTTATAGATCCTAAAACTGGATACAGTGAAGAACATGGTAAACATGAAAACAATTTGGAGTGGGGCTAAAAATCGATTTAAGTGGACCTTTGAGAAGGATTCAGAGAACTGATTTATTTTTTCATAGAATTACTAAAACGGAGGCTTAGTGGAAGTGTTTTCACATAACTGCAAGGTGACAGGCAATATGACAGTGGAATACTCTTGTTCTCATTTAGGACAGTGTCTGAATTGTAGTGTGAGAGACTTAAGTTAGATAATTTAGTGCATTTCCTAGTAGTGAGAGTTGTTCATTGTTAACACTTGGAAGGAATTGGTATCATAAGGAATTGACATCATAAGTTTTGGAATCTTTTTCTGCTGGGATGCTTTATAGCCTATCTGAATTTGAAAGTATAGTGTAGATTAACTGTTTTTCAGCCATATTATTCTGTGGTATTCCGTTTAGGTATTGTGAATTATTGAGAATGCAGACCCCATGATATAGAGGTACAAATTATATTCCTTCCAAACTGATCCACAAACTATATTATGTGCTTTTCTTTGTAAAGTAGTTTGTTAGGGTTGTGCTATTTGAACATATTTTATGGTGGATATTCTCAGCTTTGAGCACTATGCATTTACTGGTAAGATTTTATGTATAAATTACACATTTTAAGGAAATTTCTATACTTCTAAAACTCTCGAAATATTTTTTGAAAGAGGTGATTGCTATATATCTACTTTTCTTCTAAAATATTTCAAATATATCTGGTGGCTACTGTTTTATGTATGGAGAAGGTAAGGCATTGAGATTAACTTTCTCATACTTACAAAATGGGCTGTGTGTGGTGCTGAAAATAAGACCAATGTCCTGACTCCCAGTTTGTTCTCTGTGTATTAGACCAGACTGCTTACTTAAAGTTTTATTGCACTAAAAATCTGTTTATAAGTTTGAGCTCCATTTTTTTCTGTCCATTATTACAACATAGAGAAGCACATTCATATCCCCAGAGAAATTTAGTGATACACAGCAACTTTGTTTCACTCTTGACATTAAGTGTACATTCTGTTAACATTTTTTATCTTATGGTTGAATGTTTCAGGTTTTCCTCCTCCACCGGGAGCTCCACCTCCATCTCTTATACCAACAATAGAAAGGTAAATCAGTATGGATACTGATTTTTGATCATTGATAGCCTTTTGACAGAAGAACCATATACTTATCTTGGAAATATTTTCAAAGATTTAATTTTATAAACACAGCACCTGTCTTTTAATTTATAAATCTACGTCTATGTTAGTTTTATATAAGATGTTGGACCTGTAGCCTGAAATCAAAACAGGGCAAAGAAAACTAAAATTATAATATTTTGAAATAATCTCTTGCTTTGATTTATGACACACTTGATTAAAGAAACTCCTAGACTGTTAAAAACCCAGCAAGTCAGTTTTAATGGGAAATACAAACATAAATTACTGGAAATGATGAATAATACATGTCTCTTTTGGGATGAAGTAGGGAAAACTATTATGGGACCATAGTCAAGAAAAGCTGTCTTATTCCTTGATACTCCATCTCAGCTTCCACAAAGAAGGATTAGAGCCATTCTGTGTGGCAGTAGCCTTATTTTTTGTACTGTGTACTTATGGCTTATGTTAACTAGAATGCTGTACAAAGAGAATATTTCCCTCATGGGTGGCAGTATGGTGTTTAACAACATAGAAATCAAACAGTGTTGCGAGGCAAGGTTCGTAAGCCCTTTGAGACTCAGTTTTCCTTTTTACCAAAAAGGTTGATAGAGTTTTGAAGATTTTAAAAGCTACTGAATATAAAGTACAAGTATAATTCTTGGCAGGTAGAAATCACTAATAAGAGTTATTGCTATTTTATCTTAAGTGGCAAATAAACTATTAAAAATAGTGTGTTTCTGAAAAAATGATTCAAATGATATAAAAAGACAAAATATGTGAGAACTTTACATCAGTAAAGTTCTGCATATGATTTTATAAACCCTGCATAAAATCAAGAAAGCATGAATTGTGAGAACATAAGGATTTAGTTTTGTTAAGTGACTATTAGGCACATTTGTTTTCTCAGTCAAAATGTTAAGAAGTATTATTTGTTAATCCTGTCAGTGGGGCTGAATTAAAATTAAGACTAAATTTTTAATCTGAAATATTCTGATAGCCTGAAAGTTTCTGTTACTTTACTTGTGACTCAAGCTAAGTTGATTGGATTATTTATGTTAAATAGTACTAGCACATCCTATTTTTCTGTAAAATTAGGTATTTAATATTTTAATATTTTTTAAGTCAAAAATCGTGTTTTATTAATAAAATTATACAACTAAATTATTAAATTGGTGGTTGGATAAAAGTTGTAATTTTGCCTTAAGTTTTTCCTTTTGCACTGCATTACTAAAATTTAGAACTTCTTTGTACCAGACATAAAAATATATCTTTTTCTTCAACAGTGGACATTCCTCTGGTTATGATAGTCGTTCTGCACGTGCATTTCCCTATGGCAATGGTAAGTAGTAGTATTTAGATGCCTAGATTCAGTTTGGATCAGTGAAGTACTTAAATATTTTTAAAGCAATAAAAACGTGTTGCATCTTACAGAGCAATTAAAAAATATTAACTAAAGGAGTGAGTGGTCTATGTATCTGCCAGGTTAGCAAACAATACATTTCATGTATTTAATCAACTATACTTTTAAAAATTAGTTCACGGTGACACAACAGGGATATTTGTACTTTGTGTTTTCTAAAAGGATTTAGGATTTGTCACCAAAAAAAGATTACAAAGAACGGAAATCAAGTACATAGAAAACTACCATATAATGGAAAAAACCTGAAAGTTGGTTTTTGAAGACAACAAATAAAACATGACAATTTTATGACAAGATTAAGAAAAAAGAACACATAAACAGTATCAGAAGCAAAAAGGGATTACAACTGTAGACAACGCAGATTAAACAATAAAAGAGAGGCCGGCTCAAGCCTGTAATCCCAGCACTTTGGGAGGCCGAGACGGGCGGATCACGAGGTCAGGAGATCGAGACCATCCTGGCTAACACGGTGAAACCCCGTCTCTACTAAAAAATACAAAAAACTAGCTGGGCGAGGTGGCGGGCGCCTGTAGTCCCAGCTACTTGGGAGGCGGAGGCAGGAGAATGGCATAAACCCGGGAGGCGGAGCTTGCAGTGAGCTGAGATCCGGCCACTACACTCCAGCCTGGGCAACAGAGTGAGACGCCGTCTAAAAAAAAAAAAAAGAGAGAATATGCTGCACCGTATACCAACGCACTTAAAAACTTAGCTGAAATGAATTAACTCCTAAAAACAAAAACAAAAACTTACCAAACAAAACTGACTCGAAACGAAAAAGAAACCTTGAAGAGTCGTCTTTATTATCCTTTTTTGTTGGATTATTCTGTTTTTTTTTTTTTGTTTTTTTTTTTTTGCGTTCTTATATTGGGAGACTTAGCTCATTAATTTTTACTTTTTTCTAATATAGTATTTTAAGACTAAATTTTCTTCTGGAGCAACTTGTATCCCTAAACTTTTGATGTGTCTTATGTTTGTCTGTGTTTATTTCTTAATTATTTAAATTTATGATATTTTTGACCCATGAATTATCAGAAGTATGTTTTTAATTTGAAATGGTTAGGGATTATTTTCTCATAACTTTTAAATTTGACTTCTAACTTAAATTGCTTGGTGGTCAGAGAACAAACCTATTATACTCATCCTTTGAAAGTATATGTACCTTTTCATAAATGTTGTGCTTGAGAAGAAGAATATCCTTTGTTATGGGCAGTATCCTATGTGATGTCCATTACATCAACCATGCTAAGAACATGTAGCTCAAGTCTTTATCTGCATGGTGACTTGTGCCTGTAATCCTAGCTATTTGGGAGGCTGAGGCGGGAAGATCACTTGAGCCTTAGAGTTCAAGGCTGCAGTGAGCTATGATCATACCACTTGTTGTCTAGCCTGGATGACAGCAAGACCTCATCTCTCAAAACAAAAACCGCTTCTATGTTTGTACTGATTTTTCCATCTGCTTAATCCACCAATAATTGAGAGAATTATGTTAATCTCCCATGAACATGGTGAATTTTCTATTTCTACCTGTGTTTTTATTAGCTTTTACTTTCTAAAACTTAAGGTGATGTTGTTAGCTACTTGGAAGTTTAAATTTGTTCTGTTTCCTTGGTAAATTACATCATCCATCTTCATGTGATCATTCTTTCTTTCCTAAGTAATGCTTTTTGTATAAGTCTGTTGTGTCATTAATAAAGCTACTCTTTATTTTTTTTTGAGACGGAGTCAAACTCTGTCGTCCAGTCTGGAGTGCAGTAGTATGATCTCTGCTCACTGCAAGCTCCACCTTCCTGGTTCAAGCAATTCCCCTGCCTCAGCCTTCCGAATAGCTGGGATTATAGGCATGTGCCACCAAGCCCGGCTAATTTTTTTTGTATTTTTAGTAGAGACAGGGTTTCACCATGTTGGCCAGACTGGTCTGGAACTCCTGACCTCAGGCAATCCGCCGTCCTCGGCCTCCCAAAGTGCTGGGATTGCAGGCGTGAGCCACCTCGCCGGCCTAAAGCTACTCATTTTCGATCAGGGGTTGTATTTTTTTTTCTCATCTTTTTTCTTTCAACTTTCTGTTTTTATGTTGTTTATATTAAGGTTATAGTTAGGTTTTTTAAAAGTACAAATCAACAGTCTTTGTTTTGTAACTGATGAGTCAGTCCCTTTTTATTACTGAGAATATTTAGCTATTTGAACTTAACTCTCCACCTACATCTTTGTCAAGTCGTCTTGAATTGACTGAGTTTCGCATTGATTTTCAAAAAATCCTTTTTTCTTCATTGTTTTGAAACTATACGTTTTCTTTTTTTTTTTTTTAAAGTGGTTACTCGACATTTGTTATTCATACTTAACAATGTGTAGTTACATACAATTTGAACATCTTTCTCCATCAATACAGAGACTTTAGGATAATCTTTCTCTTCTAACTTATATCCTGTTGTGGTTCACTATTTTAGTTTTATTCTTTTTAAAAAAACTCTACTGTTGAATAGCATATATTGTTTGTTTGGATTTGCATATATGATTACCATTTATTTGTTCAGCCATTACTTCTTTTCATGTTAGATCCTCTAGGATAATTTTTCTTTTTCTCTAGGTATATCTGATAGATGTTCCTTTTTTCTTTTTTTTTTTTTTTTTTTTTTTGAGATGGAGCCTCACTTTGTTGCCCAGGCTGGAGTGCAGTGGTACCATCTCGGCTCACTGCAAGCTCCATCTCCCGGGTTCATGCCATCTTCCTGCCTCAGCCTCCCAAGTAGCCGGGATTACAGGCACCTGCCACCGCGCCCTGCTAATTTTTGTATTTTTAGTAGAGATGGGGTTTCACCATGTTGGCCAGGCTGGTCGTGAACTCCTGACCTCACAATCCGCCCACCTTGGCCTCCAAAAGTGTTGGGATTACAGGCTTGAGCCACTGCACCCGGCCTGATAGACATTCTTTTGGTGAAGTCTGTTGGTTGTAAGTTTTGCTTATTTTTTTGTTGATGTTTACAAAGGCAGTTTGAATCTTGAAATAAAATGTTGTTGAGTACACTTTTCTAGGTTGATATTTTTTCTCAACACTGTTTTTTTTTTTCTTTTTTTGAGATAGAGTCTCACTCTGACGCCCAGGCTGGAGTGCAGTGACATGATCTCTGCTCACTGTAACCTCTGCCTCCTGGGTTCAAGTGATTCTCCTGCCTCAGCCTCCCAAATAGCTGGGATTACAGGCACGCACCACCATGCCCAGCAAACGTTTGTATTTTTAGTAGAGACGAGGTTTCACCATGTTGACTAGGCTGGTCTTGAACTCCTGGCCTCCTCTCAACACTTTGAAGATGTCCCAATGTATTCTGGTTTCCATTTTTTATATTGGGGAGTTTGTGGTCAACCTAATTCTGATTGCTGTTCACCTTGTATAATGAAGGGTCTTTATATGTTAGGTTTTTAAGATTCGTTTCCGGATCTTCCCCTGATACTGTGGGTATTCATTCACCATGTGATAGTTCTCTTTTCTATTTATAAAGTGAATTTCTATTACAATCTAATGACATATTTTTGGTGGGCATTTTGTTTTTTTAAAGTACCATAATGTTTGTTTTTAATTGTGTTTTTTCTTCAGTTGCCTTTCCCCATCTTCCTGGTTCTGCGCCTTCATGGCCTAGTCTTGTGGACACCAGCAAGCAGTGGGACTATTATGCCAGAAGAGAGAAAGACCGAGATAGAGAGAGAGACAGAGACAGAGAGCGAGACCGTGATCGGGACAGAGAAAGAGAACGCACCAGAGAGAGAGAGAGGGAGCGTGATCACAGTCCTACACCAAGTGTTTTCAACAGGTTTGTTGGGTGTGCAGGAGTTTATACTATGTATTTTATAACCGCTTTCAAATTTATTTTTGTTATGAGGAAGTGAATTTCAATTCACTTGGAAAAGAGATGCTCAGGGAGTACTTAGGAAAGCCATCTTAAAATGATAAAGGATTAGAGGCTTCCCATTACCTTGAACAGCCGTCCTTTAATTTGTTTACTTATTTCTTAAAAGAATTTTCTACCCCTTCATTTATTTTTATCTTGCCATCTAAGTTTTTCATCTTAAGCTTAAATTAGTTGACCATATAGATATTTCCAGTGTATTATAAATATTAATATTCAAAAATAAAATTATCACCACTTTTATTCTGTTTTTAGAGACAGGGTCTTGCTTTGTCACCCAGGCTGGCTGGAGTGCAGTGGCATGATCATAGCTCACTGCAGTCTTACATTGGAAGAAGATGCCATCTAAGACTTTCATAGCTAGAGAAGAGAACTCAATGCCTGGCTTCAGAGTTTGAAAGGACAGGCTGACTCTCTTGTTTCCTAATGCATTGTTCCCTAATGTAGGAAGTCCTGGGCTCAAGTGATCTTCCTGGCTTAGCCTCTCAAGTAGCTAAGACTACAGTCATGCATCACCATGCTTGGCTCATTTTAAAAATTTTTTGTAGAGACAGGGTCATGCTGTGTTGCCCAAGGTCACTCTTAAAATATATCCAGTGGATTAAAAACATTATAGTGATTTTCCAAACACCATTATCCATTTTTTAAAGAAAATGCACAAATAGGCTACCTTTAAGAATTGGAAATTTTACTTAAAACTTTTTTTTTTTTTTTTTTTTTTTGAGACGGAGTCTTGCTCTGTCGCCCAGGCTGGAGTGCAGTGGCTGGATCTCGGCTCACTGCAAGCTCTGCCTCCCGGGTTCACGCCATTCTCCTGCCTCAGCCTCCCGAGTAGCTGGGACTACAGGCGCCCGCCACCTCGCCCGGCTAGTTTTTTGTACTTTTTAGTAGAGACGGGGTTTCACCGTGTTAGCCAGGATGGTCTCGATCTCCTGACCTCGTGATCCGCCCGTCTCGGCCTCCCAAAGTGCTGGGATTACAGGCTTGAGCCACCGCGCCCGGCCAAAACTTTTTAAAAGGGTTTTCCTATTAGTCTTTCCTGCCGCACACTTACATATTAAGTTTTAATATTTAAGAAAATTTGTCTTACATATGTTTTAAAAGGTTTTCCTCCTGATTTTAGTTATTATTTTTATATTCTGTCAGTGCAAACCACATGTATAACAGTGGTCTCATAAGATTACAATACTATTTATACTGTATCTTTTGTTTAGATACACAAATACTTACCATTGTGTTAAAATTTTCTACAGAATTCAGTGCAGTAATATGCTGTACAGATTTGAAGCCCAGGAGCAATAGTCTATAATATGTAACCTAGTGTATAATAGGCTGTACCATCAAAGTTTGTGTAAGTACACTGTGTGGGGTTTGCACAACAATGAGATCACCTAATAGTGCATTTCTCAGAACATATCCCTGTCATTGACACTTGACTGTATACATACACATTTCAAAATGTATACATTTTGAAAATAATGTAATGGAACCGCATCATTTAATGAGAAGGAGGAGCTTTCCTCTATCCCCAGTGAGTATTACTATTGTTAGGAAAAAACAGAGTTTGTTCAGAATACTTATAATATTTAGTAAACCATCCTGTAAACAGATGTGCTGCCATTCAGGCTTCGGTGTTCCATTGTTAGAGCACAGGCAGAGTCGATTTACCATAATTCTAAGGACTCCAGGATTTTCAGGGTGGTAAATGAGCACCAACTTTAACTTAAAATCACCAGCTACATTAAGGAACAATGCATTAGGAAACAAGAGAGTGAGCCTGTCCTTTGAAACTTGAAGCCTGGCATTGCCTTCTCTCTAGCTGTGAAAGTCTTCATGGCTTCTTCTTTCAGTATAAAGCTATTTGATCTACATTAAAAATGCGTTGTTTAATGGAGCTACCTCCATCAGATGATCAGATTAGCTAGATCATCTGGATAACTTGCTGTAGCTTCTACCTCAGCACTTACTGCCTCACCTTGTACTTTTATGTTATATAGATCACGTCTTTGCTTAATCCTTACAAACCAACTAACTTCTGCTAGCTTCTGTTTCTTCTGCAGCTTCCTCACCTATCTCTGCCTTCATAGAATTGAAAATAATTGGGCCTTGCTCTGGATTAGGCTTTGGTTTAAGGGAATGTTGTGTGGCTGGTTTGTTCTTCTACCCGGACACTAAAACTTTCTCCATATCAGCAATAATGCTGTTGTCAGTTTCTTAACCATTCATATGTTCACTGGAGTAGCACTTTTAATTTTCTTCAACAACTTTTTCTTTGGCTTGACAACTTGTCTTTTTGGCACATGAGGGATAGACTTTAGCCTGTCATGACTTTTGACATGCCTTCCTCTCCAGGCTTCCTCATTTTTAGCTTAATCATTTTTAGCTTTTGATTTAAAATGAGAGATGTGCGATTCTTCCTTTCACTTGAACGCACAGAGGCCATTGTAGGGTTATTAATTAGCCTCATTTCAACATTATTGTTTCTCAGGGAATAGGGAGACCCAAGGAGAGGAAAGAGATGAGCTGAACAGTGGATCAGTCAAGAACACGCACATTTATTAAGCTTGCTGACTTATATGGGTGTGGCTTATGGTACCCCTAAACAGTTACACTAGTACCTCAAACTAGATCCTGTTCAGCGATGTTGTAACAAATTACTGAGTTTATTTTGGTGCAGAAAAATGTTGAAATCCATGCATAATTTTTTCATAGTATGCATTTTCCGTGAACTTTTTGAAGACCCCTCATATTGTCAAGCTGACTAGGACTGGTCAGTAGCTTAAAACTTTACCTAAAAAAATGCACAAGAAGGAACTGATAAGGATTTATTCATCTTTTTTCCTTCCTTTGGCTCCTACTAATATGACTTATACATCGTAGGCACTTAATAAAATTTTATTGACCAAATGAGTAAACACCATGATACGTGTGTGTGTGTGTGTGTGTGTGTGTGTGTGTGTGTGTGTGTGTGCGCGCGCGCATGAGTATATGATTTGTGTTTGCTTGGTGGGAAATGTGCTGTTGACTTTAGCCAATTTAAGTGCATGATTCTTTTAAGTTCGAGGGCATTACTTTCCAGAAAGTCAAATTGTTTCTAATGTGGAAATGAATATGTTTGAGATAGCATTGCTATCTCTAGATTGTACATGTTTATAAGTAAGGCGCTTAATGCAAAATTTGATAGGAAATAAGAATAAAATAAATTGCTTTACCAGGCAGGGCTTATAAATTTTCTTTGCATAAATAACACATTGTTTATAGAAGATTTGGCTAAATCCTCTAATTCTTCTGCTTCAAATACATGCACAGATATTACTGAGTTTTTTTTGCAACTTAAAAGCATTAATGGTTAAACCACATTTGATATTCAAGTTGCTGAACTGTAGGGCATTAGGAGTCAAAGTTTACCTAAATTTGACTGAAATGTTTAAGGTCAGAGAGGCAAAAAGTGGAGGAATTTTGAGTTCTGAATTATCCCAGGAAAACATTATGCTCTGGAAAATCCAAGTGAAGTATAAGTAAAGGTGTCTGAAGGCTGATATTTTAGCAGTATGGCATGTAGTATATGTTGCTTTACAAATTACAGGGCCATTGTTTTGAAAAGTACAGACTAGTTTCAACTTCTGCTTTTTAGGCAGCTTAATTATGGGCCAGAAAGAAGGCTGGTCATTTGAGGATGTTTGAAATGAACTCTAATGTAATTTCCAGGTTCAGAGAAACCTTTCTGGTTCAGCCATTTATCAGAAAAGGGGATGGAAGGAGGAGGGTCTTTCTATTTTGTGTGTAGGACCCAATCTTCTACCATCTGTTTTAAGGTTCCCATCACAGGGCTGCTTTTAGAATCTAAAGGCTTCGAGTTCAACAAGAGTTGGTTTTAGGGTAAGAGGAAAAAGAGAGTTACAAATGACACATTATGAGATAATTGACTTTAATTATTTTTATGTAAATCTAGTTGCAGTCATTGAAAAGCCTCATTTTTTGAGAGAAGTTAACTATATTTCTTATGGTGCTAGTTTATTCTACTTCAAGACATGGTACTAAAAAGTTCTGCTTCTGAAAAAATTAAGCATTAAATTCACCAAAGACTGCCATTTATTGAGTGCCTGCTTTCATACCAAGCACTTTATAAATGTTGTCAGTTCTGTAAAAAGCCTTGAAAAATACTCTTGGCAGTTTTACAGTGAGAAAACCGAGGCTGAGAGAGGTTAAGTAACAGCCTGGGTCACTCATTTAGTAAGTGGCAAAATCAGGATGTGATCCTGTGTGTACTCACTCCACTTGTACTCTTTCTGCTGTTCTCCACTGACTGGCATGGCATGTTCCCTTTCAGGTGACATGCCTCCACACTCCAAGTACAAAGTACATATTTATGGATAGGAAAAAAATAGTGGAAATAACATATACAAATATGTGCAAAAGGATATATTAATACATTTTTCTGTTTTTTAAATGAGATTCTAAAATTTTAATGTATCACAGATAATAACTTGGTCAGCAGTACAATTGGGCATTAAGCATAGCATTACTGAATCATTACTTTTGCTAGAACATAGGCTGACATGTCTTTTAAAACATGGCTTATAGTTGTCACCTGACTATGTTAAACCCTGAGATTCCTTACCATCTTGATGTTTCATACAAATTACTACTTTAATAATTCATATTAAACATTTCTAGAAGTCAAAGCTCTTCAGCATACTCTTCTAAAAGATTATTTTATTCTAAGGGAATTTACTGATGTAGAAAGTGTTGACTTCTGTGCTAAACAAAAAAAAGAAAAAGGAAGAAATGAGACATGAAGGATAAAGAGAAAGATGGAAAGAGAATGTCAGTTAAAGGACATGAAAGGAAAGGAGGTCTAGGGAGGTAAAGAAAGACCACCCTCTAACTCTAGCCATTCGTCTCAGTTTCACCAGTCTGTATAATTCAATCCAAAATTAGAAAATGGAGATGCAACTTATATGTATGCAGTTGAAGTTATTAGCCATGTAGTTCCCCCTCCCGCACGCGCACACACACACACACACACGTAATTAGGATGTCAGAATGCAGGTATGTCCAATCTGCATTTTGTATGGATACTGTAGAAGTTGCTTTAATGTTTCTGTTCTTTATGTTTATACTTCTGTATTTGATGAATATTTAATGATAAACCTAAAGTTTAAAAACATAACTTGCTTTCTGTTTTGTAGTCATTGTGAGTTGTATATTTTTATAATGTTAAATATGTGTCCAACACTTTCCAAGAATATTGATTAGAAATCTGAGATATACAGATATTATTTTAATTCTAAAAGGAGCAAAAATTTTAAAAGCTGGTAACAATGTAAAATCAGTTGCAGATCTCACCTTTTCAAGAAATGAAAAAACCAAAGCATTTTTATATTAAATCTTTTTAACAGCTATGAAAGCACAGAACAAAATTGGTCATTTAACCTATGTAATTATTATATATTTATATTCTTAGCTCTAGTGCTATTTTGAGAACAACCATTGTTTTCCTCTCAATTCAACAAATATTTATTCCTCACTAATGTTATAAAAGATGCTAATGTGAGGATTTGGGGTTTGGACTACAGATCACATCTCCTCTTTTACAGTTTGAATCCATTCAGAATTAATGGTCCAGTTGTCAAGAAAACATTTCTATTTCAATTTCAGCGATGAAGAACGATACAGATACAGGGAATATGCAGAAAGAGGTTATGAGCGTCACAGAGCAAGTCGAGAGAAAGAAGAACGACATAGAGAAAGACGACACAGGGAAAAAGAGGAAACCAGACATAAGTCTTCTCGAAGGTTTGCTCTTTAATAAAATAGTGAGCCAACAGTATGGGAGAGATTTTGACTTACTACATTATCGCATTGGAAGAGGGGAAATTTTGGCCTATGAACCAGTCTTTCGTAAGTTATGAAACGAAGCAGTGCTTGGTTTCATTAAAGAAAAATTCAGGGCCTTGTCTCAAATTTTTTTAAAAAAATTAAACAAAATACCTATTGTTTGCCAAAAATCAACCCTTTACAGTATTTCCAGTTTTGAGTTAGTGCTTGTTTCTAATTTGTTACTGTATATTATAATATGCATTTCAGAAGCTGTATAGGCACTGGGAATCTGAGATAATATCAGTGAAGATGGCCCTATAAAATAAATACAATCCCTGCATAAAAGTCACATAAAACTGATTATTCCCCACACTATATTGATGAGAAAATGCATTAGATTATTTTAAACCCAGTGTTATATTGAGAATTTCCTTAGAGTGATTGGATTTTTGTCACTGATTGTGTATTTAAACAGAACACACCTTTTTTATTTCAGTAATAGTAGACGTCGCCATGAAAGTGAAGAAGGAGATAGTCACAGGAGACACAAACACAAAAAATCTAAAAGAAGCAAAGAAGGAAAAGAAGCAGGCAGTGAGCCTGCCCCTGAACAGGAGAGCACCGAAGCTACACCTGCAGAATAGGCATGGTTTTGGCCTTTTGTGTATATTAGTACCAGAAGTAGATACTATAAATCTTGTTATTTTTCTGGATAATGTTTAAGAAATTTACCTTAAATCTTGTTCTGTTTGTTAGTATGAAAAGTTAACTTTTTTTCGAAAATAAAAGAGTGAATTTTTCATGTTAAGTTAAAAATCTTTGTCTTGCAATATTTCAAAAATAAAGACAGCAATGACTTTATATCCAAGAAAGGAATGTGAATGAGTCACTTAACAGGGACTCTAAAGAGCTGTGTTAGCTGTGTACATAAACAAATTATCTGAGAAAAGGTCAAGGTTCCACTTGGGCCACAGTTTTGTTAATCAAACAAACAAAACACCAGTCTCGTAAGAGGCTGCACCACAAAAGGCAACAAAGGGCCCCTCTAAGGCTTGAGACTAAAACTAGTCTTTATCATTACTGCTGTGACACTCTTGCTTAGTATATTAAGAGACTTACACATTTTTGATATCACAACTTTTTGATAGCTTTTCAGTGTTCTAAATTTGGGTTCCTGGTGAAACCAAATGGGGTACACTTTCATATCCAAATTAATAAAACCTATAAGGCATTTGGGTGGGCTCTATGAAATAAATTACCCTTAGTGTAGTTTCTAGGAGGCACGTGTACAAACACTCTTCATTGTGGCACAAATTTAAATAGCCTCATGACCATGTCTATGAGCCAGGGTCAAGCTGGTTTGGCCTTGATGCATTTCCCAAGGCCCACTGGTGGAGCAGCGCAAGTTTTTATACAGTCGCTAACGATTGTGGAAAAAAGAGCTTTAGCCATTACTAAAACAAAACAAGTTTATAATTCTCTGAGCATTTTTAGGGATAGCCCTAGAACACATTTGTCAGTGATGGTAACAAATAACATGGTATTTGCAAGGATAAATTACTAGGATCTTTTAAATGGTAATAATACAAGTAATCTTAATTAGTATCACATACTAAAAGACAACTATAATTTCTGAAAAATATTTATTTCTTGTTTGATGAAAGCATTGTTTCTCAGCAATGCATTTAAAAAAATCTTTTAGCTGTAAATTAAAAATGGTCATAATGTACCCTTGGCAGATTTCAGCATATACCAAATTTTAAATTTAAATCAACTTGAATTCAGTGGGGTATACAAATCATTTTAGCTGTTTAGGGCTTTTTACTGAATAGAAAAAATATAAACAAAGTTGTAGAGTAATGAGAAATCCTCCACACTGAAAAAGAACTAGTAGTTTTAATATTTTTGGAATCATATTTTCTGAGGTGTAACTGACTTTCATTAGATCATACTTTTCCTGACATTTTAACAGTGTATTTACATATAAAAACTGACAAGATAAATACAGTGTTTCAACTTAGCCTATTTGTGATTTTTATGTTTTTCTCTGACCCATCATTGATTCTATAAAAAAGTGCCAGGCCAAGAAACAATAGTTAGAGTAATTCTTCCTTTAAGTTCTTTCAGCAGTCTTGCCAAGCAAGCATGTATCATTCCTGATGTACTTCTACCATTGACAGCAAGAAGAATATCACCACATCTAAAAAAAAAACCAAGATATGATTAGTATTTTAATTCATTGCTGAAGTTAATGCAAGTTTATCTTAGTGGTCCTAATTTTTGCTGCATCTGACCATTTTAATTATGTTGCTTTTAATTTAGATATTTCTTGCCTCTTATTTACATTCTCCAAACTCAATATCCACTCAGCTTGTGTTAGAAGGAATGCTAAAAGTATGGGGAGTTGTAGTATGGGACTAAGAATATGTGTAATTATTTTGGATTTCTCAGAAGTTGAATGCTACATAAATACTTTAACTCCCCACAAAGTATAATAAATACATGCCTTATCTCAAATGAGGCCAAGCTTTGGCATTTATTAAACAACATTTAATACAAGTTTTTTTGGTTAGTCATTATTTTATTACCTAATTCTTCCATCATTGTATGCTGGTGTTCCTTCAACAATGGATTTGATGAAAAAAGGTTTGTTTCCATTGTATTCTTCATAACCTCCTACAATGCAGAAGCCCAGACTTCCAGCTGTGTTTCTTCGTAATATAATGTCTTTACAGTTATACAAGCACCTGAAATAGAATGTAGTCAGTGTACATGCACATTTAAGTGTTACAGTTAAGGGAATACTTAACTGTGATTCATCCCCCATTCCTTTTGTTGGCATTTTTAATGGCTAAGTAGCACTGCATAGGTCCCACTCAAAATTGTATCGTACCTTGGTGACCTTTGTGCTGTTAGCTGGCTTTTTGTAATTGAACCTCTGTTTTCCATAATTTTGAATATCCTTAAAAAACTGACACCCCCTATTGTGTTCTGTTATACATCTACTGGGAACGATAATCATATTTTTAACTTAAGACAATGCTTGAATTTGTATTAGCAAAAAGTTGGATAAACCTAAATCCTTATTGGTGAACAAACATGGATGTCATATAATATTTACTTGATATAATTTTTAATGAAGGCAAAAATCCTTTGAATAATCTCAATGAAAGCAATTTAAACCTAATCCTAATAAATGAATTTGTATACTTTTTTTGACCTTGGAAAAATACCACTTTACACCCAGTTCTACATGTTTGGCAAGTCATAGAGAAGCATGCAGGCATAAAGTGAACGGAAAGAGATACATTTAAAGATTATAAGAACAATTCATATAGGAGGAAAAATAAACTGCAGGAAACTGGATAGGAAGTTATAAAAGGAATGGGAGAAGGAAAGGCCCAGCTCTTCTGTAAATTAGTAGAATCCTCAACTAAAATAGCAAATGAGATTGAAGAAATTTTTATTCACTGGCCCCTAATGAATCAGTGTTCATATAGGTACAGGCCAAGTGTTAACTATGTTACAGTTGCCATAGAAGTGTGTGTCAGGAGTTGAATTTTACTCTATATGACGTTGTTCACCACATTTGTAGCTGTAGTCCAGGAATTGTTTTGAAAGGAAATTGGCCTTTTCGTGTTGCCAAAAATCAAGATATGGCTATTTTGTTTATATACCGTACCTTTAAAATATTAATTGCTTTTTAGAACCAATAAAAAGTCTTGTGAAATGTTAAGTGATAAAGTTGATCATTACATTTGTTACCAACCTTGTTAGTCAATGTGACATGACTTTTTTTCATGATGGTGTTTTCACTTGAAATAAAATGAGCTTTAGGGTTTGTTTGGCAAATACCTTTAAGATGTATTGCTGAAATTCAACTCTAACCAGTTCTGAATCTATTGTCATACATATACATCATAACAATTTCTTTTACTGAAATGATTGCTTAAAAGTATGAATTTCATTAAATTTCATATTTTGTAAAATATGTATCTGCTGCATTTCACAGTAAACCTTGATGTCAGTGGTAAATTCATTCTTTGGGAGCTGTGGTGTGTCAGATACACATTTTACATAATGGTTCACTGACTCCTCATGTACAAAGCAGGTAACTGACTATTCTGTAAATACCAAAGCATTAACATTCCCACCTGGGAGGATGTGTGCCCAATTTTTTGGAGAAAGGTAAGAATTAGATGATTGTTATCCAAGGTCATGATCAAATACCAGTTTTAACATTGCCCAGTTTGATATATAAATGAGTATACTCTTACTGAATATTTTATTTCATATGGAGAAGCTGTAAACATAACCATCTAAAACATTACATGTTCTAGTTCAAAGCTTTGAACCCAGTAAGTCACAGTGTGTCCATTTTCTAACCTCTTGATACTGGAGAGAACACCCTGCTTTGATCATCTTTCTGCAGATGTTTAAACAAAACACAAAATCCCCTGCCCTCCTGAAGCATCCATTCAAGTTGATACCAGTGTTACTTGTTTTATTTCCTTAAAAAGTAAATGCTTTCTTTTATTGGTGTTGTGTATTTAACTTTATTGCAGCAGTGAGACCTCCTTATGTTAACCCGTTGCAAAGTCAGACCTTGATCTGACTTTGTGGGCATTTTTTTCTTAAGTTGGGTTATTTTACTTCCCACTGGGAAATGGGCAGCTGTTTTTGATCAGTGACCTCAGATACTAGGTGGCTTTAAACTTTGAATGTAAATGTGGACTTCTTTCCTATTCTGCACTCATTCTCTAAATTTAGGCCTATCGAAAAAGATTCAGCATAGTATAAAGAGTTTGGTAGTTTTTCCCAATGAGAAAATTATGGTTACCTCAAGAACAAATTTAATGAAATGAGTTAATGAGTGTGGTGACTCATTTGATTTCCACTGAAATGAGTTAATGAGAATGGTGAAGTCTTGAGCTGCTCAAGAAGCTAAGTTTTTTCCTAAATTTTTATATATCCCCTTATACTACTAATTTAGTCAATACATATTTGAGAACACTGACTTTGAACTAAGTCTGCAGACTACAAAGAACACTAAGGCAGAGCCTCTTTCCTAAGAAAAACACTGTTTAGAAAATAAGTGCATCAGCCAAAGCCAGCTGAGATCTTGTTTCTTCCTGATTTAAATTATTGTAAATTTTTCATTGCTAAGTGGTGTTAGAATAGCAGAGGTTGGAAAGAGGTGGGATGTAGGATGTTTTGAGCTCTTTGTGAGAGCAGAAAATTGGAAATTGAATCTATAGAAACAGTCCTTTCACAAAATGTTGCTTTATTATTTTGCTAGCCCTGTGTTCAGAAAGGTTTAACTTCTTGGCCCCAATTTATATGTAACTATGACCATCAACTTAATAGATTCCAGTGAGTAATGTAGAGCCTACTACTATGATTAACCTAGCATTTATTCCGTCTTCTGGATCAGGTACCTTTCAGTCTGCGGTGAAGAGACCACCTTCCCCCCCCCCCCCCCCCCCCCAGTTTATTGTAGACTAATACTTTGGTTAAATAAAAAATGAATTTCTAGAAAAATGAAATCTTTAACCCCAAATTGTGTTGTACATAACAAATATAAAATGTTATAATCAACATAAAAGGAAAAAGAATTATAAAAACTATGCATTGCTCATTTATTTATGGGAATTTAATATGGACAACCACTGTTACACTCATAATTTTGCGTTCCTCAATTATTTTTCTAAAATCATGAGAGAAATGCTGAGTCCCCATATTAAATATCTATATGCATACTTTGAACAAACAGGTATAGCAATGTTTAATGTAAGTGAGGTTGCTTACTACAATAAGTTGACACTGCTACTTGCAGAGGATAAGGGATAGCTAAACCATTTTCTACTCACTATTAGCAGAAAAGACAGTGTCACATATATATGTTCAGGAGAACAGAAGATTTTAAAGCAATTTTAGTAAGCTCAGGCACGTGATAATTTAACTTCAAAATTTGTCTTTATTCCTCAATGATAGCCAATTACAACAATTTATACTATAAAGTTAGAGTCCAATTTAAATTTTATCTCAATGACATGAACTCTGAATTCATGAATTCTGTGTTGGTTTCTTCTGAAAATCAGAACATTCTATAAAATATGTAAGATGTTTGATAACTTTTTGCAGCTGTGCAATATCAAATGTATCACCTACTTCATTGATAATTGTTATCAAGTTACATCATAACAACTTATGGAAGCTATTCTTCCAAGCGTCTTTCATTTTGCCCTTTGATGTTATTGGCCATTGGAAAACATCTTGCATTTTTTTCCTTGCAGGAAATATTAAGCTCAGTAAAAATATTGAAGATAATCTGGCAAATAAACAAGTTTGGCTATCCAGTTTACATCTTTAAAAAGTTGGGACCAAACTGGCTTCCTATCTTGCAGAAAAAAATAAGGGTTTGATCTATGGTTCAAACATTTTTGACAGAACTTCTCTTTACTCGTTACTCAGCATGCAATAATAGTTCGTTATGATTGGCTTCCTTATTATCACATAATAAAGAGAATAAACTAGTAAACTAGTATCTAATGCACTAGCCTTTATGTAGCCAGAACTTTTACTATGTCACTAAACACATTATTTAGTTTGGCTGACATCACAGCAAAATTTTCTGAAGGAGCCACTGTATTAAGTTACATTCATTCTCCAGCAGCTTCTTTAATCTGCGGAGTCAGTACTCCAGAAAGTTTTACAATCAATGCAACCGCACCAGCAAAACATACCCCTACCTAAAACTTAAACTTCCAATTCACCAACAATGTAAACTTCCTTAGTTGTATATGGTTCAGAGCTAGTTGTGTTTATTGCCAAAGAACTTTTTAAAAATTCTGATACCATGTTTAAGTTGTGCATACACTAAAAAAATTTGCCTGTGTATTCAAGTTAAAATAAAAAATATGTTGCTGGCTTTTCTTGAAGTTGGTTTTCATATCATTAGTTATGAAACATAGTACCCTTTTTACCACAGATTCACCCAGTGTTTCTAAGCAAATTTTAGTTTTCACAAATACCTTGGCGATGTGTATATACATTTTTAATCTTACTTAAAATGCTACTTTATTATAGGAAGTCCACAAAGTATATAGTTTGTGCATGGTATATTGGCATCTACTTCTGGTGACTTTTTAATTAAATACTCTTTCAAAAAATTATTTTGGCTTTTTGTTTGTAAGAGGCATTTATGATTCCATTGTTTTATTAGCCAACACCTCCACAAGTGGTTTTACTACTTCACCAACAATGACAGCTGCAAACCCAAGCTGCACAGAGGAGTAAAAGCAGCATAAACTTTTTGTCTTAAGAAAAAAAATCACATATTATTTGGAATCACTTCTATTGTACTGTTTTCAGAAAAAGTATGTCTGTCTTGTCCAGTGAAGCTTAACTCACCAACTATAAATAGGCGACTTCTCTAATTTGGCCAGTAATGTTGAACTACATACTTAAAGCAGCTTTGATTAAAATGTAAATGATCGTAAAAATATGTTTAAAAAGAAACCTGACAGTCTCTCAGATTTTTATACATATTTTGGTGACAGCTAAGAAACCTTAAAATACAGGTTTTAATGTGGGGTCCTACTGTGCATGATGCAGTGATCCCCTACTGGGATGCAGATTGCACAACATAAAACACCTTGCAAGTTCAACAACATCCCCTTCAACAAGAGTTTACTGATTATATTTGAATGATGTAGCAATGTCGAATTGCTATAAAAGTTTCTAAACAATTTCTGTCCTTCTTGCAGACCAATAATACAGTTTGTGGATTAGCACTGGTCTATTGCCCATTGCTCTGAATAATTTTTAAAGAAGTAAAACATACAAAAGAAATATTACAGGTTTCTTTTAAAAGTTATTAAGGAAGAAAGCTTTAGACTATGATGCGCCTAAACAGGAGTATAGAATTAAAAATTCTTGGCCAGGCAAGGTGGCTCACACCTTTAATCTCAGCGCTTTGGGAGGCTGAGGCAGGCAGATCACTTGAGCCTAGGAGTTCCAGACTAGACTGACCAACATGGCAAAACCCTGTCTCTACCAAAAACACAAAAACTAGCCGGGTGTGGTGGCGGGCACCTGTAATCCCAGCTACATTGGGGGCTGAGACTGGAGGATGACTTGAGCCTGGGAGGTTGAGGCTGCAGTGAGCCAAGACTGTGCCACTGCACTTCAGCCTGGGCAATAGAGTGAGACCCTGTCTCAAAAAAGAAGGAAAAGGAAAGGGAAAGGGAAAGAGAGGGAAGGGAAGGGAGAAAGAAATGAAAAGAAAGAAGAAATAAAAACTAAAAATTCTCTCAGGTAAATTTGAGCATTTTTCTCATCCATATGGTGCTTATCTATATCATTACCATGAGTTAACTATCCCCAAAGTCTCCTTTTCTAGCACTCCACTCTGATCCTCACCTCTCATGGACTCAGTGCCCCCTTCCAACAGATTTTTGACTCCATCTGGACTGGATGCCTACTTTTCCTAGATGGTTGGGAAAGACCTCTAAAGAGGTAACATTTAGTCCATGACCTGAATAACAAGAGGTAGCCAGAAAATGTGAAGCACCGAGTATTTCAAGCAGAGAGAGCCTGGACTTTTGAAATTTAATAGAAAACAGAATACTACAAGGGACTTATCACAAGAAGCAGCACTATAGGAGGATGAAATAATGTGTGCTTTCAGCTAACTGGTGACAGGGCCAGGTGTCTCATGAACCTAAGTCATGACAGAAAAGCAGTGAGTAAGGAAACCAGGACAAGATGTCCTGGGATCCACTCCCGGACTTGTCTATGCTGTCCCTCCTGTGCTACAGTGTTTGAAACATGCAGGGAAAACACCTCCAGTTGTGTATTCTGTATTATTGAAAGTTACAGTTGACATTTCCTTGGCAAGTTTTCCTATTGTATTAATTCTAGGTGACAACTGAGCCTTAATAGTTTTAAAAGATTGAGCCAGAGGCCGGGTGCGGTGGCTCAAGCCTGTAATCCCAGCACTTTGGGAGGCCGAGGCGGGCGGATCACAAGGTCAGGAGATCAAGACCACAGTGAAACCCCGTCTCTACTAAAAATACAAAAAATTAGCCGGGCGCGGTGGCGGGCGCCTGTAGTCCCAGCTACTCAGGAGGCTGAGGCAGGAGAATGGCGGGAACCTGGGAGGCGGAGCTTGCAGTGAGCCGAGATCGCGCCACTGCACTCCAGCCTGGGCAACAGCGTGAGACTCCATCTCAAAAAAAAAAAAAAAAAAAAAAAAAAAAAAAAAAAAAAGATTGAGCCAGTCAGTGCCCAAGGACATGGTGGCTATTCTTCAGTAAGTCAATCAGAGGAAAGATCCAGAATTTATTATTTTATAAAACAGAACTAGAGACCATAATAAGGGCATGGAAAACATTCCAAACTGAACTCCAAAGTAACACAATCATGAAGTTCAATGCTGCTACAAGGTCGCAGTGTCCAGCTTCACCTGGCAATACTGTGAGACCCCTGTTGGCTTCTTCCCCTAGACACTTCTCTCTCTACCCAGCCAGGTCCCTCTCTACTCTGATCTCTCAGACCTCTCCCCCAACCACAGGTTCTGGACACACAGTCCTTTTTGCTATTCCCGGACCATGCCACATTCACTCCCACCTGTGGGCTTTTGTTTAACTGCTCTGCCAGAATTCTCTGCTGTGCTTCCACTGCCAGCTACTTCCTGTTACTCAGGTCATGAACTAAATGTCATCTCTTTAGAGGTCTTTCCCAACCACCTAGACCAAAGTGGACATCCAGTCCAGATGGAATGAAAAGTCTTGCAAAGGAGATTTTGGGGTAGTAACTATGGGTAACGATACAGATAAGAACCAGGAGGACAAGAAAATCCCACAAAGAAACACAGCAAGAGAAGGTCTGTAACATGTCCTTCTCACGTAGGAAGTGCAGGTATTTGCTGGGGGGAAAGGGGTCGGTAGAGCTGCTGGAGGTTTAAGTTGCTCAGAGTATGTGGGACACTGCTGCTGTAGAGAATGACAGAAGACAGCTGATAAACAATGTCAAAGGATACGGGCGCGGCACTCTGGGCCCACCTGAAGGTGGTGACCACAGGTTTAAAGGGTATCTGTTGTTTGATTTTCCCCAGCAGTGTTCTGAGACTGAGTTGTAGGCTTGGAGAAAATGTACATAATTGGACAATCCAGGGGGTTGTAATTTTGCCAGATAGTCCAGAAGGGTGATGGAGTAAGAAAGTAGAAAATAATGACTCCAAAAAAAAGAAAAAGATGGTTGATGCGATTGTCCGTGGACCCCAACAGCGCTGGGATGGAGGTGAAGACAGAAGGAAGAGGTTGAGGGAAAAGGTAAAGGGGTCTATGAACCCCGAAGGGTCTATGGACTAGATGGCAGAAGTCTGTATTCACAACATCTGACTTTATGATTTCAAAGGGGGAGTGGTTCTAGCAGATGACAAGTTTGGGTGGAGGCCATGGAAGAGGGTGACTGAAATACTGACTTTTTTAAAAACAGTGCCCTTCTCTGCCTTCCTGGCCCATGTGTCACCCTCTGCACTAAGGATTTACCCTTTCTTTTTTCTCTGAAAAGTTCCATCTGCATCCACTCCTTTACTGCTCAATATCTTCTTAAAACT